TGAGAGAAAAAAGGAAAGACTTATTGTTACCGTATTTTCTGTCACCTTGTATATAATCTTTACATCTGGAATTTATCGATGAAATTGTTTTTTAACGTATTTTGTTCCAGGGTGTGATGTGAGGATTGTTTTATCTTATTTTTATTCCATGCTTATTATCTTTTCTTTCAGGAACGCATAGAGTATAGCAAAACGTGGATGGGAAAATATTTCAATGTGCTCGGTCACTTTTTCTCGGTCTACTGTATATGGAAAATATTCATTTGCACAGTGAATATTGTGTTTGATCGTGTCGGAAAAGTGGATCCTGTGACGAAGGGCATCGAAATCGGTGTAAATTGGATGGGAATCGATCTTGACGTTAGTGTTTTTTGAGCATACTTCCTAGCGAAGTGAAACATACATGAGTACGTTGTTGCAAAACACTTTCCTCGTCGTTACGACCCAGTGACGCGACAATTCAAGCTATCTGCTGTTCTCTGCAACGAATTCCTGCTTATGAAGGGGAGGAAGTGGATAGAGTCGGCAAGGGAAATGAGGTCAACTGCCGTTGGTGGGCGGAGCATGCGCCAAAGTGGGCGGAGTTTGTTTTCAAACTTACAACTCAGTTCCAAGAAGTCCCGGAGACCGGGAAAAAAGTGGATCGAGTCCGACAACGGAAGGGAGGTCAACTGCTATAGGTGGGTGAGGCGTGCACCGGAATGGGTGAAGTGACCCACGAAATCACAACTCGGTACCAAATTGTCCTGGAGACCGGAAAAAAGTGGAAAGAATCTGACAACGGTAGGGAGGTCATAGGCAATTGCTGGGTGGAGCGCTCAATGAGATGTTCTAAGTTTGCCAGAAACCGTTACAAAGATATCGATGGTCCCGTTTTCTATCGCGGAGGGTGATGGACGCGAATGCGTGCGCAGCCACTTGGCACTATTATAAGCAGTGTGAGTCATAGGTCGAGAAATCCTAACGGAAGGGATGGGAGTCGTACTCTGCGGAATCGCAGCGCTTCTTTGGTAGGGGTCTCGACACGGCTAACTTTGCTTGGACCCTATTGAAAGCTTTTTGAGAGTTCCAGAATTCTTTCTATAAATCGCCATTTTCTGGTTTGCGAAAATTAATAGAGTCTGATAAATCGTTTCAGTTAGTACAGGAACTCGAAAGCTATTATTATCCCTTCAGCCCCCTTCCCCCCAACCTCCCCACCCCGCTTCGCTTCACGGACTTTTTTCGGAAAAAAATTCGGGCCTACTTCAAAGGAAAATTGAGGTAACACTTACAATAAGGTGGGTTGTGATAGTCCAACACTGGAAGTATTTGCTGCCAAATTTCCTCGACGCGTGGCTCATGCTGGATGTGAGTCTGGAATTGGAGCAGACTTAGCCGAGAATAGAGAATTAAGCGCCGTTCATTGGAATTTCTAAACAGTCCGGGTACAGAAGTACCCACGGATCCTGTGTCAAAGCAGCTTCAGCTTCTGTAAGATTTATGGATCATGTCCTTTTTGTTGAATACGGCGCTATCACAAGACAGGGAGCCTTTGCTGCAACAAAAGAAAACATGTCGAGTGTGATGTTGTGTCCGAGCTTTCAGGGAACTTAAAAAACAAAACATTTTGAGAAATGTAACATATGCAAATTCTCTCATAATAAGGTAGTTATAGAGTTATGAAAACTAAACATTTCAACAAAACGTGTAAAGTGGTAGCTAGAAATTTCATTTCCACGTTTTTCTCTTTCAATTTTTTTTTGACTTTCTGTTTGCTTCAACATGCTTCAAATTGCCTCAGGCTTAGTACTAAAGGAGGAGAAATTGGTTCATAACATTGGTGCTTCTTCTCCTTCGGAAGTTCCATCTTCTTGGCTCACAATTGTTTCTCGCAACATCCAAAACAAATCCCTCACTAAGCACGAAGAGAAAAAATGGTGTAAAATTGCAGCACGTAATATAATTTGCATATATAGAGAACTTGAGCGAAACTGAGATCTAGAACTTCCCACAAATTGTTGCTCTACGATGCCCCGTGTCTTGCGATAGCGCCATGTACTATGTATACTCTTGTATCCCTTTTAGGTACGCTTCTGGTCACAGCACATTTCGTTCCTTCTTGTTGGTGTCATAGCAGTTACATCGATAAGAGGATTGTTAATCACGCTGACGAAATTCTTCCTAGCAATTTCCAGCTCAAAGTCGTCGAACATCATCGTCTTGTTGCTAGCTCAAATAATGGTACGACTTATTTGTGTTTGTTTCTTCTGCCCGTTCGAGGTTGATAGGTGGAACATTTATTCAATCGGCCTAACGTTTCGACAAAATCGTCGTCTTCTGAGGCCTAAACGCGGTTCAAGGTTGAAATTCACGATCTAATCCACCAAGCGCCTGATCTCCTCTAGCGGTTCCGACTTTCCGTCGGGAGTCCCACCGAGAAACGAAAGAAAAAGTGCTGCTCCTTCATGGTACCACTTTTATAATTAATAATTAATAATATAATTAATGATTATAATTAATAATGTCTAACGTAATTTGACTTATCCTGAAGAGATAACAAGCGTACAGTTTTGCGAAGATACGTGCTTACAAGTAGAGGAAGCGATTACGACAAAGAGAGCGCATGTTTGCTGCTGAGCAGTGCTTGAAAAGCGCTTTACTCATTAGTTAGGTGGGTGATTAGAGCGAGCTGTGTTGCCAGTAGCTACGCAACTGAAGCAACTCGACTGGAGCATTTTTCGGCATGGTGCCACAATAGTATGCGATGTGCTCGTTCATACGTCCGCTTGTCTGAGCTATTACCCGTCATGAGTGAAAATCAACGGCCAATCAAGGGGTCCAATTTTGGGTCCACTTGACTCTCCGTGGGGAAGCTCACTGCCAATGGTGGGAAAGCAACGCGATAGGAACCTTTTTTCGCTGGGAGGCAGGCGTTTTACCAGGTCGGGCTGGCGCGTGGCAAATCGCTCGGCAGACTATGCGATAAAACTACCTTTTCTTCGAATCTAATAGCTAAGCTCACATTTTTATCATAAAATTGACCAATATGTTTGCTTCTTATCTGACTTAATGTCCCTATATGCAAATATTTATTCACGTGAAGCAGTTCTCGGGCAAGGGCGCTTGGTGTCAGGTGATTCAATGAAATGCGCTACTCTGTCCGGTTTTAACCGATTCCATAGAAGAGCTCAATGCACATCCACAAAAAAAGACGTGCGATTGCGAGCGCTCTGACACAGTTTCTATTTCTTAGAAGAAAACCTTATGCCGGCTCATTGATCCTGGTTTGACGGATGAGGTGGTTGATCCGGGCAGAGTTGACTGCCCGGTCATGACAAAATTAACCCATTATGCGACTAATTAACCCGACAACAATCCAAAAAGGATATCAATTTGCTACTTGTTTTCTTCTAGGAGGATAATAAATCCAACTCAGAAGGACACTGAAGACCTCGAAGACTGTTTCACTTCACTTCTCGTACTGCGAACCAAGAGGGGTTTTTTTTGAATCAGTTCAGAGAAATGGCGATATTCACTTATCAACTGCACTAGTGTTAAGAACTGACCACCGAATAAATCCCAACTGAAATGCGCTGGATTTTGTGTTGCCATTCCAAGAATAAAGTCATGCTTCAACAACTTCGTAGCCCTAGAGAAACGAGCAAATCTTCAGTGTGAATGGTTCAATTGTTCTTTCCATAGTATGAGTTACCGCTCAAATTTAGCGCACTTTACAAGTGATAGAATTGGCGACTAATTGCTTGTTTCAAACAAAAAACGAGATGCTTTTCACTTGGTCACCCCCTTCAAATACTAGAATTTAGGGCATGTACTTCGTTTCAAGCGTGCTGTTGATGCGAATGAATATGCCGCATCAGTACCGGTGAGTAAACTATTTATTTTGTCTTATGTTTCAGAGGATTCAAATGAAAACTTCCCTTTTCAGCTCATTGTTTTTTTATGAAAGCAGATTTTTCACTTGCCTTCTTTTGAGTTACGTTTTTAAATGTTCTAAAGTTAAAACTTATTTGTCACGACGGGTTGTGTAGTAAAGAACTTATGAGCCTCGTCCGATTATGGTGGTACGTCGACGCAGCTTAGTGCGTATTTAGACAAGCTAGTTGGGGGGCACTCGCATAAAGTCAAGCACGTGAAAGAAGCACAATTGTCGCCACACCATTAAGCTCCTGTGATATTGCCTGAGTGAATGGTAACAGTTGCGATACTTCACAGGATTAGGACTTCTGCAGAAAACAACATTTTGGAAAATACAGTGGAACAGTTGAAAGTAGAAAGCTATGTTTTTGAAACTCTTTTCGAAAACTTCCGTTGTTAAATAGCTCCATAGTGAAAAGCTTCCTCGAGGAGATCTTCTCACATGTTTTTTCGCATGTAATCATCTTTTCAAGCTTAAGTTATTCCAGTAACAGTTTCTCAGTAATTTCAGAAGGTCTGCAGTTCACTATGTTTCTACTTCTTTGGAATACTGGGCCAAATTTTAAGGTACAACGTAGGCAAAGTAGGGGTGATAGATTACAACGATACATAGATGTTACATATCTTCTTTCGCTACGTTGGGCTACTGCGGATGGATGTGGGATGGTTGGTGTGGCAAAAAATGCTATCGGCTCAATTTGCGCCACGCTAGAAATTAATACCATATCCACTTGACGCCGTCGATTTAACCACCTTTAGTAATAGTTTCCGTTCGTCCACAGATTCTTTGCGACCCCTGAACGTTATTTTAGCTACAAAAAGAAAGCTCCTGAGACAATGCGTCCCCACGTCGAGCCGCAAAGAAAAATGTTGTTGTTGCGGTCTCAAGTTGCAGACACGCGAAACACTGCATTATCGCCAATGGGGGAAGATGAATCTCTAGAGGACCAATCACAGAAGCGGCACTCTTGTGGAATAACTCCGACAAGGGTGCTAAGAGCTTGGTGAAGGCGCTTCAACAACCTCAGTTTTCCTCGCCTGCAGCAGAATGTTGTCTGGCTGTCTGTTTTCCCTCTCATCTGTTGCGCTCTCTCGCCTCATACTCTGCTCTCCGTGCTCATTCTCTCATTTTATGAGCGCGGCCTATTACGAAGGTGAACAAGCTCTTGGCTCAAGCGTTTTTACAGATTCTTTTCTTTTCTATTTACGTCCAGCCCACTTCGCATCAACACCTTCATATCCAAAGCAAGAACCACACAGTTTAATCCTGTAGCATGCCTTCAAAGGCAAGGGACAGAAATAGTTTGGTGAGGTGATCCCACTTGAACACGAGAGCTAGGATACGAAGCGAACCAGAAGCGTAGAAAAAAGAAAGAATATTGTCCACAAATTCAGAATTACAAACCTTCTGCTCTTCGCTGCGGGTTCTAAAAACAGACAGCGAAATAAGGGATGATGTGAGTCGCGGAAGGGGAAAGAACCCTGAGTCTGGAGAGCATAGGTCAGCAGAGGGGTGTCGAGAGATCAACCAATACGGATTAGTCGTCATCTCCACAGCGGCTAACCTAGTACTTGCACCCATAGAAGAAACCAATCTTTGCTATTGATCCCTGTAGAAAGTATTCAATAGGTAACACAATTAATTGAGGTAATTTCTTGTAGTTCCTCAGCACCCATAAACATCCATCATTTTTCTAGAACTAACAACAGTCTAGCGGCCGAATGAGTTTGGATAACTAATACATTTGCTTATTATCAGCCCTCAGCGTAAACATCTACCATGCTTTGGATGTTGGGATGGTTTAGCGGTCGAATAACTTCTTATTCCGGTAATGAGATATTGGGTTAGTGCATCCCATTGATATAACTCGGAAGCCTGGATGTAACGCTTTTTATAGGGAAACATAAGCGAGTCCACTGGAAAGATAGAATTCACGCCAAAATTGCCATTATTGTAAATCTTGATAAGATAATTTTTCTTCAATTCAACAAAGATTTACTAGTCAACAACCTCAGATGGGGTTGTGGAACAATCTGTTCTGTGGGTAAATAGAATTGCCCACAAGGTCTTTATATGCGCCGTTGTCGCGGCTCAAAAGTGCGCGACAATGGAACTAGAGCCTTACAAAGTGAGCTAATAGAGCAAATGTTAGGTAATGGACGAGATACCTCGCGCTCACTTCTAGCAGCAACGTGGATTATGAAGTAGCGGATAAGATAGCGATAATTAGCAAGATATGATAGCCTCATCGTATTGGTGCGGTTGTGTCCGAAAAACTTGTCTAGACAGCTCTTTCCTCGCCACCATTACCAGCGGCTTTTAGCTCACCAATTTGATCCAGGGTTTGCTTTGATTGACGAACCACAGTCCAAAAAGTATAAAGTTGAGCAAAAACCACAAATTATGTCCAGAAATTTTCTTTATTTCGCGAAAGTGAAAAAAGGGCTACAAAGGCCATGGTGAGGCAGAGCTTGTGCAGTAGTGTGGACTACTGCAATGTTAATTGCGTTGAAACGCACTTGTTTATGTTTGATCGGCCCTCATAAAGCAACTCAGTGACAAGTTCTAATTTTTACATTCGCTATTCGTAGGAAAATCATAACGGAAGTGTTGGGCGATCTTCAGTTCAACTTCTATCATCGCTGGTTCGATGTTATATTTTTGATCTCTGCTTTATCAAGTATAGTATTTTTGTATTTGGCTCATAAGCAAGTTCCTGTTCATTGATATCAAGTGTGAATTCATTCATGTCTGTTTTCATCGTCTGTGATCTTCTTAAGAATGTGTTTGCCTCTGCTTGCAACACAACCTCCTTGGGTGGTTGCTGGCAAGCAATTTTGTACGTGTATACGTTTTTTGTGACAATAAACATCCTTGAAATTGTGCCAATGCAGTTTTGTGAGGTACTGAGATTGAATATGAACTAATTCTATTACGTTGTCCAGAAATTTGTCAGTTTATTGATTTCTAAAACGACATGTCTGAGCTTAGTGCAGGAACTATGAATCGGTAATGAAACCACTGGGGTGCATGTAGCCGTGCGTTAAAAAGCTCGGGAAAATGGCCGTTCTTGTTGCGCAAACGAAGCGCCGACAACAGCTAACACCGGTGTCCACTGTTGCATGTCGAACTCATAGAAATCCATCAGTACTACATCTAGGATCGCCCAGTTTCTGTACTGTACATGTTTTCCTCCATGAACTCCTTTATAATAGAGTAATCGAGTGCAGAATAACACAAGCGACCTTTCTCACCTTGGTGATCGAATTCGCCACGGCATCCCCAACCAAAAACTACCTTTTCCGGGTTTCACTCGATGAAATTTGAAGTGTTACCCGTCGTCGGTCACAATCTGGCAAGTATTACGAAAGGTGACCTAACAAGAAGCCGTTGCTGGATGCTAAGAGTAGGCTGATCCAACTGGCTTTCGAAGTTGACATCTGGCCTGGACCAAAGATGAGAGGTAAAAGTTGTGCCTAGAAACGAGTCAAATTCTTGTCTTCTTGGAAATGAAGTTGTGAGCATTGTAAGGTTATCTGTCCTCTGAAAATCTCATTTTAGGTATTAGATCAAGCAGTCAAAAACAGTGAGGTGTGATTGTAGATGAAGATGGCCAGACCATACTGTTGTTTACTTCTTCTTGAACGAACGACTG